GGCAGGTCAGTCGGTCTGGGATACGCGCGCACATAGCGCCATCACACGCTGCTGAAAGGACTAATTAAACCCCAGACTCGTTTTCTCACAGGAAGTGACGTTTCCCAACAGCACGTACATCAGGAGGTGGCATTTTAGCTCGCCTGGTTTAATCCTGCAGTCTTGCTCCTTTCCTTGGTTCTGAGTGTAACTATGCCTGTTCACCAAGATAAAGCCACAGAGCTATTCTCTTACTCTTTCAGTACTTTTGAGAAGCCACAGTTGGCCCGTAAACATTACTCTTCCGAACGCCACTGCTACAAATGCTACCTTTGATCTACAAATGGAAAGTGAAACCTGCTGAATGCCTTCACACCATTGCCAAGAGTGCTAACACAGCCTTTGCCTTCTGAAACTGTTTCCGCTGATGTAAGCCGGCTTCTGTCCTACAGGTTTTGAAATCATCACAGCCTGCAGGGAGCAAACACGTTTTTGTCACAGAAACTCAACTTCCAGAGTCAGAGAGCTGCTGCACTGAGACAGATGAGGTTGTGCCAAAGCTAGTCCCGTGGAACATGGTGAGCTTATTTAACGGGTCTTTTGTGATGCACTGGGGAAGTCCCACCCCCATGATCCGCTTGCACTCATCGGGCACTTTGAGACGATTAACTTCGTCTAACCGGGAGGGGGGGAAATAACCACCCACTTTTTTTTTTGTTTTTAACCCTCTCCAGTAAGTGCCGTAACAAGGGCAAGGGACGTGGCTGTACAACGGGGAGCTGGAGGAGTGAGATCTTTGAGCAGCAGCGAGCTGCTACGTGAACTCGGCTGCGCAGGGAACCACGGTCTTTTTTCCTTTTTTTTTTTTTTTAAAAAAAATTATTACTGCATTTTTCCAGTCAAGGTTTTAAATCCACTTCTAAGTATGATTTAAGAGAAATGACATGAGAAATTCGGACACTTGTCAAACCAGCAGTGTCACTCATGGGCATGGTACTCTCACATGTAATGCTCAGATGTTCACCAGGTATTCTTAAATGTCACTTCACAGTTATTATGCAGTGAGTGTGAAGCGGAACTGGTAAGTGAATGACTAATGCTGGGTTTAGATAGTCAAGGGAATGGAAACGTTTACGCAAATATTATTAGCAAGAAAGTGACCACGGAAAAAGAGCTTTGTTAATATTTGCAGAAGAAATTCCTTATGCTTTTCCCCCCCTTTTTCCTCACTGAATTAATATTTCCAGATAGTCACTGTTCTGGCAGGTACATTAAAAAATATTAAATTTTTTTTTAACCCCTTACTCTTAGAAGAGAGAATTTTGTTGCAGGATAGCTGTGTCAGGATAGTGACTATATTTTGATCTCTACTTCAAACAGCTGACTGCCTTTCAGAATCATTCCTTTGGCACAGGTAACATTAAATTTGTACTACCCTGTTTAAAATAATCCACAATTATGCTTGACAACAAAGCACAAGATGGGTATCATTAAATTTTATTGTACAAAACTGACAAGATATGGCATTCCTTAGAATTTTTTTTTAAAAAGGTCAAAACAGAACTATGTCCCTGGAACAATTTTGTGAATGGAACAATTAATACACAACCTTTAGTCCAGTAATGATATTTACCTGCAAGACCATCTTTAGACATGACAGGTATAATTAAAAAAATATTCCATCAGTTCAAGCAATAGTTTAATTTTCCATGAAATAAGTATTTCTATAAACACTTTATGTTCAGTCAAAACAAATGCTTTTGAATTTTCTTACCTTAAGAGATATAAAACAACCAGACAGGTTTGGGAATCATCAGAGAAGTCTACCCATGGGGAAGTCTAGTTTTTGTATTCCACTTGAAAATGTTTGTTTTTATAAAAGTAAGCAATATCAGCGTAGCATTTCCTGACCAAACACTTCTGTCTAACAGATCTCGCTTTTTTGATGCACAAGCCTTTTGGTTTTTTTATTTGAAACCTCATTTCTGTGTCAAATTCAGAATTTGAATATAGACCCAGGGAAAGGTTTTCCCTACTTTTATTCATAGAACCTACCCTTTATTGCACCGGATTTACAGAAGGTCAAAACTACACAAGGTCTTCACTCTGCTTCTCAGCAAAAACATCAAATAAATGTTGAACAAATTCCCTTTATCCCAGTGGAAGGAATTATTTCTTGAAATTCTTAGTATAAACATGAAATAAAAAAGGGAACTAGATAACTTTATGTTAAATTCCAGTTCAGCTGTAAATAGCCTCTAAACAACAGTGCTACAGAGAACTGCGCTACTAGCGTTTCTGAAGAAAAAACAACCAAAACTAAGAAATTACCAGGGAAGCTCATAAACGATTGTGCCAAGAGAGCACAAGACTATCTTTGCTATGGCCTAAGCTTCACAAAAAGTGCTTCTCTGCAGGACATCGTCACTGCGACAAACTTCTGAGATGGTCCCAGGGCGTAAGTTATCCTAGACACCCGCACACACACTAGTACTCATCACACTGTGCTTTCTACGAAGAGATTATGCTTCAGTACTTTGTTTTCCATTCTCTCTCTTCCTCCAGAAGACGAAAAAACCTTCTATGCAAGATAAAAATAATTCTGAATAATTAGTCATGTATTAAAGACCTAGTTCTGAAGTATTTATTTAACATCTAGTCATATAAAATAAAGTGTAAAAGTATGAAGGTATCAGAACGTGGCTTTCAGCAAGGCAGTTTGGGAAGTAAGAATTCAACATAAAACAGGAATTATTTTTTTTTTCCCCTTTGAAAAGGGTCACATCAGAATGAATGAAAAACACCGAAGAATTTCACTTCAAGCCTGCACTCCTGCCTTTTGTCCTTTCCCCAAGAGGAGAGACCACTGGAAGAATCCTCCAGGGTTTCAGCTGTGTTGCTCTTTGTGCTCTTGTACCGGCTCTGGCTGGAACTATGTACTGCCCTCTTTGGGCGGCAGGGGCGGCTGGGGCTGCTGCGCTGGCTGTGTGCCTGTGGCTGTTTTGATAGAGTTCAGGGTTTTGCTAAACCAAGAGTTTTTGGCAGCTTGGATTTCATTCATAAGGGCTCCTCTCTGGTGCTCCAGCTCCTAAGAAAGCAGAATAGTCAGAATTGATCAAAACCCAATTAATTAACAGAAAACCATCCTCAAACTCAGTCCCTGCAATCCAGCGCTTTGCTTGCAACCTCCCAGGCACCGGGGAGAGAAGACAGATCGAAATTGCAGGAACAGCAGAAGATATTTAGACATACAAATAAAAGCCTCTTTTCTTTTTAGACAAAACTGTTCTGTAAGTTCACAGATATATAGCAGTACAAGTATACGCTCCCTTTTGGAAGAATTTTTTGCATGATTCAGGATTAATTTGGACTGAGCACAATGAGGCTAAGGAGACTGCCCTGCTGTACTGGGATTCCACATACCTGAATTTTGCACTTGGCTTCCACAAGCTGCAGTTTGGTCTGTGCAAGTTCCAGCTCCATCTCTCTCAGCTGCTTCTTCAGTGCATCCTTCTCATCATCTGTTTCTATGCCTTTATTCTCCATGCTTACAGCAGGCAGCTTCAGTGCCCCCTCCTTACTGAAAATCTCACTGCAGTGTTTGCAGGCCATCACCTTCCCCTGAAATACCCAGAAAGCTCATTTTTAATCCATGTTACGGGAGTTACTGTGCTTCCTGGAAGAGCCATTTTTATGTTAGGCTGCCTTTCGGTCAGTAGTCTCAAACTATCTGGTACTGCAGTTTTCATATTTGACATGAAAAGAATTTGAGACATTCATGAACAATTTCCAGGGTAGTATATTAACCAGTATAAAAATTCCTAAAACCTACTTAGCATGCTCTGTCTAAACACAGAGATTTTGCTCCTAGATTAGAATCACTCAAGCCCTCTTGCTACCAAAGCTTTGTAATATGTTGCAGTATTTATGCTAGCTGAGTTCAGAAGAGTAAATTACACTCTAGGGGCTTCTTCTCTTCCATAAAAGCACTTGACCAAATTAATACAGATTGTGATATTTTAGAGGGTGCCAGGTAGCTTTTCCATATTTCCAGAAGCAAGCGAGCAGCCTGTGCTCCCTGCAAGGGCCAATACTGTCCTGTTGGTGCTTGCTCAGCATCGTAGGGGATGCCCCTTTTTGCCAGCGATGCCTGACAGACCACAGTAAGGTTCTCTTGCTACCTGGAGAGGTGAATCAGTTACTCATGGCTGAAGATGTAGCACAGCTGGCCTGGCTCGCACAAACAAAAAGGGGATATTGAGCTATTTCAGCAGATTATAGAAATGTCAATCCTAGGATTATTATTTTTTTTATCAATAACATAACAAAGTCGCTAAAAAGCAACAAATCAGGTTCAGCTTGGGTACTAAAGAAACAACTAGAGGCTATAGCAGAGGGAAACCAATTCTGCCTACTCAGTAGTGACAAACCAGAGGGATGGAATTACTACCTGAAACATTTACCTCTAGTGCAGATGTTCCTGCTAGCAGGTTTTAGCAAAGGGAGAGGAACTGCTATGGAAATTCTGGGGATGGCCCAAGCTGTGCCAATTACTAAACCAACTCTGCTTCAGTTACAGAAACCCAAATATAGACCTTGTCCAATTCAGCCAGTTCCGACTCCTCCACTCTGCACACTGGAGCAGCAATACGTTTTCTCTTCTGAGAGTCTCTTTTTTTTTTTTTTCCATTTAATTAAAACATCCAAGCAAATATTGTTTCTCTACATTTTTTGCCAGAAGTATACATTTCAACAGGAAAACAAAAAGCCAAGTACTATATGCACTTCAGTTCAAGAGTTCCACCCTGTCTGATAGAAGATAAAGAACCATGAAAGGAAATAAACCCTTTGTTTTCATCTGATAACAAATGTACGTGGGGCTATCGGTGCAGCTGGGTGGCCACCACTGTTGTTACAGTAAACCTCGATTCACATCTTGTTCTGTACCCCTGGCATTTAGCAACACTTGTGTTAGAAACACCCCATATGCAGAGGCATCGTTCTCACCTTCACAACTTCCAGCTCATCTTTACTGGCGGCTTGTTGTTTTTCCAGCCTGGTACTCAGCTGGGAACAAATCTGGAGCAGAGAAAGCAGTCTCTTAGCTAAAGTTTACTATACTAAAATATAACCTGTGCTTTTTAATAATGGTTTTTGTTAGAGCCAACATTTCTTAAATTCTGCCTCACTCAGGTACATGCATTCCCCCTTAACAAATCCAACTGCTGCTGATAATGAGAATGAACACAATGGCAGTATTCAATACAGAACCTGAACATGGAGACCGGAACATTTTACGGGTTAATTGGTTTATAATGTTTGTACTGCATTATGTCACGGAGTAAAGAAGCATTCACCCTACAGTACTAAAATTAGCTGAAAAAGGTTATCCCTGATTCCCTAAATTAGGAGACTATTAGGAAAACCACAAAAAGATTTATGACAAATTACAATGCTTGCTCTCTGAAAGCTTGAAATGTAGCGTATCTTATTTAAAGGGTGAGGTCTGCAATTCCGAAAATTCAGCTCTCAGAACGGGTTGAAAAAAGAAATGTGAGAAAGCATCTCCAGAACAGTACCTGTTTATACTCTGCAATAATGGCTGTGGTTTTTTTGATCTCGGATTCTGCCTTCTCGAGCTGCTTCCTGAAGACTTCCTTCAGCTAGGAATTGAAGGAGAGAAGTTACACAGTACCCTGAGAGAAGTTCTCAAAATGTGTGTGTCAGACTGTTCTCTCAAAGTCTTGCTGTGTTTACAGCAGCTCTACAGCTTCTTCTTACCAAGTTCCAGTTCTTCAGAGAAGTGGCTGATTTACTCAGTATACAAATACTTCTTATATTCAGTTATAACGAAAAAGTCTACACTGAGATTCAGTTGTATCCCTGCCTAGAGAATTCTCTGCGTTAGACGGTGGTACAGCGTGGCCCACAGAACGCAAAACAAGAGCGTTACTATTAAGCGGGTTTTACCAATTTTGTTTTTCTGCAAAAAAATTGGTCGCAGCAGGTTTGGACAGGCAGATTATTTGTTTGTTTAGAGATGGAATAAGAAGAAGGCTCTCTCAGCACTCGCATCTCCATAACAGGAGAAAAAAATTCGGTTTGGTCTGTGGCGCCCTGTTAAAATACAGCCAACTCACTCCTCCACCATGCAGAACCACTAAATTTTGAGAGCCCTTTCAGTAGGAAAAAGGCCTCCACTGCCTTCTTCATGGCAAACAGAGAACTTGGCAACCTCCACTTTAGAGAGACACAAAGAATTACCGTTTGATTATTGCAGTCACTGTTGTCAAGTGGCAAAAATAAAAATCAAGGTATCACTTCTGAAACATAATTTCATCTGTGTCAGTATTCAGCACGTTAGATATGTAGGATTAAAAACCTAAGACTGAACATTTTACAAACAAGTATGAGGCCAGGTCTAGTCAGCAAAATTCTCCCAGCCCTCAACTCTGTTCTGCTGTTGGCTCTAGCTTCAAGCAGGGACAGTCACAGCTTTCTTTCAGTGAACCAGCAGCTGAATCCAAAATGGCCTCTTATAAAGCAACAACTCCTCCAGCTACTTGTTTAGCTAATTACAGGAGGTCTGACCATGTCTCCTGAGTTGCGATTGCTTGCCACCAGTAAAAATGATTATTACAATACTGGGAAGAAGATAAGGTATGAAAAACTGAACATTTGGAGCTCAAGTAAAGGAAAAGACTGAAAAGCATACTTTAAAAAAAAAAAAAAAATTTATGCTGGCACTTCCAAGTTTTAATTGCAACTGCATTTTGAAGATAAAATCCTTTCCACAACTGCAACACATTCATGCTTTTCTGCATATCCTTTTGCTTGCGTTTCCTTGATAAATGGGAAAAGTTGGAGAACGCCTTACCTGAGCAGTTTCCTCTTCCTGCTTCCGTTTCTCTTCCTCAGTCTCCACTAGCTTCTGTTTGGTCAGGAGAAGTTCCTTGTTCAAAACATCTGCTTTGTCTTCAGCCTAGAATTAGAAACGCTAGTGTAACTCAGATGTTATCTGTGCCAACACAAATGCTTGGTATACACATCTCAGAAATACTGCAGATTCGGGTTCTAGCATTGCCTTCTCCTGTCCTCTGATGTCTCACCGAACCTTCATTTTATAGGAAATTCCCTTTTCAAGTGGCTATTTTGGAAGTTATTTCGCTGCGTTTCAACAACTATGCAAAAGGACCCTTTTGCCAAACGTTTACCTATGCCCAGATGGCAAGTAAGCACAGATACCATGTCCTCATACAAACCTAATACAAACCATGATGTACAGAGTATTTTTGCGGGGAACAATGTTAATCTAAGCAAGGGCAGCGTGACTTAGCTCCTGTGTAACTTCCGATAACTCGTTCCATTTTTGATTCTGTGACTGGGGAAACCAGATATTGTAGAAAACGTTAGGTGCCTGCGCTGTACCTCGCCAAGCGTCCGGGTGAAGACACAAGTATAACAGAGACAAACAGGACCACCAGATAAAACGGTTTATCAGCGCAAATAAAGATTACCTGGAGAAACTTGATACTGTGTGTGTACCGGAGAATATGAATTTTCTCCTTCCTCTGAAGGGCCAAGCTTATGGTGAAACATACTGGGAAAGTTTTGTTTTTGTGAGCACTATGCTCACCGATCACCAGGAGAGAAAAGTATTTGTCAATGTCTGGATATATTCTGTTGACCTCCCCAACTGGGAGACACACACACACAGCATCACCCCACTCCTGTTCAAGTAACTAGGTGCTGGAACAGGCAAGGGTTGTGGTCAAGTAACACTTAGTTCGCTGAAAACACAAGAGGGAAAACAGCATTGTAAACAACGAATAACAGTACAGAGCTTGGAGACAAGTTGCAGTTTGGTTTTCTTTCACTGCTGGTAGTAGAACCTTATCTCTCTGCCACAGCGTTAATTATTGATGAGGGTGTTAGTGGCGATTGTGGGTAGGAGAAGCGGCTCCACCAGGGCTATGACAGAAGAGATGGATTGGGGATTCCTGCACTGCTTAGTGTGTATATGGCTGTATGGAGCAAAGGAAGGCAAGCAGTGAAAGAATGGAAAATCGGTAAGATTGACATCTTAGAACAAAAGAACTCAGGGATGACAAGGGTATTTTTGATGAAAGGCCTGTTTAAGATATGCTTTGAAAGAACCACAAATCTTTCCTCCTTTTATGTGTTCATTCCAGGCTCCCCAAGCACCTGCAGTGGTGTACGGTATCACCTGTCCTTGCAGATGAGGAGTGCAGTAGGACAAAGCTTTTCTTTCAGTCCCAGCAAACTGAGGAAGGGTGTAGGAATACTTCATGAAGCCACTCTCATCTACAGAAGGACTGCTAAAATGCAGGAGAGCAAGGAACAGGACTGACAACAGTATGTGCTTGGCAGCCTTGTCACGATACTTGAGAAGAAACAAGCACGGGCAGCAGCAGACAAAGCTGCTTTACGTACAGCTGCTCCCAGGGCAGACAGAGCACCTCAACACATGGCTTTCGGCCTTCACTCCATCATGCAAAGCGCATCTCTGCCCGCATTTGCTCACCAAGACAGCGCACAATTTTAGAATCCTGTGGATCTAAATGAGCAGAGCCTAACTGTCAAGGGTCTGCCTAAACAGAAATACAAATTGCACAACTGTGCTCAATGATGTTTACAATTCTGAGGTTAGACAAGGAAAGCCAAATAACTACGGGAAATCAAATTGAGAGGCCCTTGCAGGAAAAAATTTTACAGTATAAAAGGCAGTACATCCCTCACTAAGCACGGGGCTCGTCACGAGCTGTGGTGGAGTATGGCCCTCCTGAATTTAGTACCTTAATAATAGCTGTTACAGCATTTATCAATGCTACATAAAACACTCCAGAAAGAGGAGGGTTGAATGTGTAGTTCTCTGACAGTCATCTCTGAGATGAAAGGCTCTGAATGCTGCTGTCCTCCACATTTCGGTCTTCACAGGAAACAAAAGCAGTTATCAAAGGACACCCAGGAGCCATTCTAATTTTTGGTGCCACACCACTTCATGATCTCTGAATTTCTTTGCCTGTACTAAAACTACTGTGAAAAACAGATCCACATAAGGTGGCAGACATTCTGCAAGGCAACTTCCCTTGAAATTAGTCTTTCGAGGAGTATGTGAGCCCTTTTTCAAGTAAATGTTCATTCTTTGGTATCTGCCTAAAGGTTACGGCTTACGTTTTCTAAAACAATCCACAACAGTCAGTGATGGCAAGACACCATTGTGAATGCCTACAGTTGCACGCTTGTGGAAATCCAACTTTCTGACTGCAACTAGGAGCGAGGTTGTCAGGAGAATAAAGGCACAAATAATTACACTTCTACTGTTGCATTCATGCTTTCACTTGAGCACAAAGCAGGGCTCCTAAAATTGGTGTGGCCCAGCCTGAGCTGGGACCCATCTCTGTTAGCGTTACCTGGTCCAGGTCATTCCGTAAGGCAATTTTGCTTGTTACAAGCTCATGGGCAAGGTCATCGTTCTCCTGCTCCAGCCGCATGCTTGCTTCTTGGAGCCTGCGGTTTTCCCTCTGCAGAAAGAAAGGAACAACCAGGAAAGGAAGTTAATCCTTATCAATATTAAGGAGCAATAAGTGAGTATATTGTGTGTGTGTAAAACACCGAGAAGGCAAGAGTGCACATTAAGACAGGACTGCTGCTCTGGGAAACAACAGTGAATTAAGCCAGCAGTGCAAATGCAGCGATTCCACTTACATCCCAATGGTTATGTTTGTGTCGCATAAGTGACACACTGATTGTAAGGTTTCTCCGTCAAAAGTAAGCACAATCCTTTCCACAAAAGCACTTGGTTTCCACTTGCTCATCATCAAAAGGAATTAGGCAGATAAAATCCCACCCAGCAGCAGTGAACAGGGACCAATTAAGAGATACTCATAATAACGTTTCCGATCGAAAGCAGGAAGCTGTCCTGCTCCAGTTTACAAAATTTTGTCTGCAGGAACTCATAAAAATAGTTCATTTTGTAGATGATGTAGTGCCAACTTCCCATCTTCTGCAGGACAAGTAAAGAACAGTATTTAGCAGGGAACCCCCTGCAGCTCGTATAATCTGTATCATCGTTTGTGCACTTTCTCTGTAGCGTGCACCAGTGACAACAGTGCACGTTTTACAGGATATCTGCTGAGAAAGAGTGCCAGATGGAGAGGGGACCTCACGCCCTGAGCACCGGCCCAGAACCTGCTCGGCGGGCAGTGTGCGGCAACACAAAACACAAAGCTGTGAGACTGCAGGCCCTGGTCCTCACTGCACTGCGCTCTTTACCCACTCTGCACGGGCAGAGATGACTACGTAGAGCACTAACTAAAGAACGTAAGTACACAGGAGAAGAATGAACAGTAACAATTCATGTTTTTTAAAAATCAGTTTCAGTGACTGTTCTTCTAGGGCTGAGAAATGGAATAAAAATATCTCTGTGGGTCAGTGGGCTTCCAGGAGTTCACATCAAATACATGTCTTTGGAAGAACACAGCCAGGTGGGAGAATAGAGGCCCCCTCCTCAAACGGATTTTAAGAGAGCAAAAAATGTGCTAGCCTTCAGTCACACAATGACCGTGTATCTTTCATACCAAAAGAAACTGCAAAGGGAATGTGTGTGCTATGAAAACTCAAGGAAAAATACCAAGCTCATATGGAAACTCATAGGTGGAGGAACAATAACCTACATGCTGAGATTTCAAAAAGGACCTGTGCTCACTTGAAAGGTAAGTTATGTTCTCGAAGACAAACCAGTAAAAGTGAATATGTATCAGCACTTAAGAGAGCAAAAAAATCCCAGAGGTGTTCAGTGAATGCCTTCCTACAAAATGGGATTTCTTTGCACGAGCACATTATTAACCTGTCCTCGCTTCCTCCTGCGCACCAGCTACGCTCAGATATTTTTTTCTTTCCAAACTCACCACTCCGAAACTGCAATTTTCATTTCCGTTGCAAGAAGATTTTGCAAGCTTGTCTGAAACAAAAAAGGACAACTACAGCTCTAAGAGGATGCTAAAAAAGGTCTCCTCTGTGTGGGAGCTTCCTCTGTGGCAGGAAGCACCACCTCTGCAAATACTCTCTCCTTAACGTGGCCCTATTGTGCAACTAGACTATGCACTGCCCTGTACAGGAAAGTAAGTTTGTTTCCTTTCCAAAAGATTGTTCTTTAAATAACTTGTTTTGTTACAGAAACTGTAAGTAAAATACTTCTGTTTCAACACAGTTAAAATAACCACTGCTAGAAGACGCAGAACTTTGAGGATCTTTTTATTTTAATTGCACTGTATACTGTTTCACACTAGGAATTTTGAAAAGTAAAATTCTTCTGCAAGGATAACGTATACTTTAAAGTGTAAAACCAAATTGCAGTCTTTAAAATTATTATTAGTTTCATTATTGTTATTATTAAAAGGCTCCAATGGGTCTTTATTTCTGTATTTTGTTCAGACCATCTTAGAAACGGTGATTTTTATAGACACAGCTCTGCCAGCGAGCAGCTGTCAGAAAGGGACTGGAGTTCCCCTAAAAACTGAGACCAGATCAGGATGGTATTGCTGCCAGGTGCTGCAGCACCAATACCTTCTCATAGGGATGTTGTTTAGAAGGAGAAATCAGCAAATTCTTAAGACTTCCACAAAATAACCCAGCAAGAAGGTTGCTTTAACGTTTTTGCTATGCTTTTGCCAAAAGCTTTGGTGTCCGCAAAGCAAGCTGCACAAATGTGAAGTTCAAAGTTCCTGCTTTGCATTCGCAGACAAGTGGGTAAGCAAGCTACATGGTTGGAAATGCGTTATCCTCCTCTTAAACTAGAATTTACATGGCACGTTGCTAGTAAGTTAAAGATCTCTTACCTCGGGCATCCAGTTAACAGCTAAGAGATGTTTTTATCTCGTTCACCATACTTTTCATTTCCAGCTGAAAGTCTCTTACAGGGCCACCTTTACTCTTCCTCCACACAGGGCAGTATGCACAATTAGATGGTTTTGTCTTTTCCAGCTCCTCCCCCCAGACCTAGCAGTGAAAAACTGCCTCCTTCCTCAGAAGGAAACACTTAATCTGCTTAAGTCTAAATAAAACCTAACGTTACTCACTAAAGACAAAAATAGCAAATAGTGCTTTTCATATGTAGTAAACTATTTTCAATGGCTCTGAAATATTTACAGGGTTTTACAAAATACCATCCGCCATGGCATAAAGTTCAACAGATGGAGCTGGTTCATTACAGCAGGGCTCGCATCACGGACAGCATTTTGTAACCTGGCATAAGCCAACCCGTCAGACCTGCTAGTTGTCCTTGGTGTAAACAGACAGCTTCCTGCCTTTTCTCTCCACACCACTAACAATTCACTGACTATGACAACGATTTCCTCCTCTTCAGCATTGCTAAGTCTCTACAGTCAGTAAAATAAGAGATTACTCTT